ATTAATAATGAGAATCTTCAGTAGAATCATATAGAAAAAAGTCCTAAATAACGCTTCTACAGACCAAAACATAAATCAGTCAATCAATAAATAAATGAATAACGAAAGAAAAACCGTCCGCTCTGATTATCCTTCACCAAACTTAGAAAAAAAAATGTATCAAAATACATTGTTTACGGTTATTGATTACAGTATATCTTTTATCTCCTATTCATACATTCACTTTCCTTTTCGCATTTACTCTAGTAAAGTTAAAATGTAATTGAGGCATTGAAGGAAATATTCGCGGCAGTTAAAGAGTGCAGCTTTAGCTAAATAATCAAAGGCTAGCAGATGAGGTCAAGGAGGCGGTGGGGGTGGGGGTGGGGGGGAGGATGTGGGGGAAAGGTGTGGGTGGCGTTCATGGGGGGGGTATGGGGGATCCTGGTTGGAAGAGGGGTGTGGGGGAGTTCCTGGTGTGGGGAGGGATTGGGGGGAGGGACTTCCTGGTGGGGGGAGGGGTGCGAAGGGGGGGTCCATATGAGGGGAGGGGTTAGGGTGGGGGGAGAGGTGCAGGGGAGTGCTTGAGGGGAGGGGGGAGATAGTGAATGAGAGGGGTCGAAAGAAGAGAATTGAAGAGAGGAAAAGGAAAAGGAGAGAGATGGAAGAAAGAGGCGAGAAACTGGAAAAGGAGAGCGAAGGGAGGGGGGGAGGGGGGATTGGTAAACCAGAGAGGCCGGAGGGAGAGGATTAGAAAGACTGGTGAAAGGAATATAAGATAGATTAGGAGGGAGAGGGATTAAAAATGGTGCGAGATGAGATAGAGGAATCTGAAACGATTAGGGAGTCAGGGAATATGAAAGGGGGGGGGGGAGAAGGAAGAGGGGTGGGGGGGGAGGGGCAAGTAAGCTACCGGTGAGCGTCATCTGTATATGGAATATCTTTATCATCATTTGTAAATGTTATTTTCTTAGTCATACATTCGTCTTCGAATTTGTCCATCCATCTAACTATCTAGCTATCTACATTATTTTCTCTTCCCGTCTATGTATGTATGTATGTATGCATGAATGTATGTATGTGTGTTTGTGTGTGTGTGTGTGTGTGTGTGTGTGTGTGTGTGTGTGTGTGTGTGTGTGTGTGTGTGTGTGTGTGTGTGTGTGTGTGTGTGTGTGTGTGTGCGTGCGTATAGATGTATGTATGGATGCATAGATGCATGTATGTATGGATATATGTTTGTATATATATGTATGTATGTATGTATGTATGTATGTGTGTGTGTGTGTAGGTCTATCTACCTACTTATCTATTCAATATGTCTAGCTGCCTATTCACCTACCTACTTATCTGTCAATCTCTCTCCATACGTTTCACATTGCGAACCCTCTATACAAGATTAAAACAAATATCTGAAAAAGAAACAATTACATCCCAGACGATTATGCACCACGAAAGCCATAATAAAGCAACACAGACACTTTCAGTTACAAATTCCACATGCAGACTTAAAGCCATAACTCTGACAGCGTCCTATACGCAGATAAACCAGCGCGTACCCCATGTGTATGTGCGTAGTTGTGTGCGTGAATGAACCCCCCCTCCCCCCCGCCCCTACCTGACTGCTAATGTATGCCGGGCAGGTAATCCTAAAATGTACCTCTCTCTCGCACCGCAGACACGTCATCAAATCAAGGGAAAAGCTCCCATAAAGTCAAGGTTTAATGAAATTGTTTCCGGCCAATACATTAAGATGATCACAGAGCGAGAGAGAGAAGGATGGTGGAGGAACATTTAGTTCTTTTAACTACTGACAGGCACCATTACGTTCTTGTTCTTTGTCTTTTGAATTCGTTGAATTAAATACTAGAAGGTAAGTTTCTGATATTGGAAGTTACCGGAAGTGAAGATACCTTGAGTTTGCTTAAGTGTATTACTTAGTGTACGATTGATATTCTCGATGTTGCATTTGTTATCTTAGAATGTAATATATTATCAGCTGTACGTTATTATCTTTATATGTAAATTATTCTGATGATGCATTTGTTATTTTTTATCTTATCTATCAACTATGAATTTAATTGATATCATTAATAATGCATTTGTTATTTTTATGTATACTTAATATAATTAATGATGATTTTGCTATCCGTTTATGTAATTTCTATGATCAATTATGTTATTTTCTTAGTACGTAGCCATTATGATCAATGAAGTACTTATTAACTTACTGTATACTGATTTAAAGACACTTTTTCACCAACATCAGAATCATGATTGCGCTAATTGCCAATTATTACCCACAATGCCATAATTCTTGTTACTATCCTCCTCTTCATCACTATCTCGAACATCACTATTCACTTCACCATACGCATCACAAGCGATACTTACCGATGACATTGAGTGTGGTGTAGACGCCTATAGGTGGGTGGGCGGAGAGCTGGCATTCGTACACGCCCGCATCTCGAGGCTGGGCGTACCTTACATGCAGCGTCCAGTCCTAGGAAGAGAATAAAAGGTTCACCGGTGAGAATGAGGAAGGAGAAGGAGAAGAAAGACGAGAGGTGGAAAGAACGAAGGGGCCTTGGACAATGGTGCGTATTGGCATGGCCTAATGTTGCGTTAAGATCCGTAACACTCCTTCGATTTCACGCTTATGCTCGCGTGTGCAGATTGAGTCCATATAACTCACAGTGTGCATGAGTGAGTGTTTCTACCTACCTACCTATACACACATAAACACACACACACACACACACACACACACACACACACACACACACACACACACACAGATATACATATATACATATATATGTATGTGTGTGTGAATGTGTATGGACAACTATGTGTGTGTGTGTGTGTGTGTGTGTGTGTGTGTGTGTGTGTGTGTGTGTGTGTGTAGGTATGTGTGTTTGTGTGTGTGTGTGTGTGTGTGTGTGTGTGTGTGTGTGTGTGTGCGTATGTGTAGGTGTGTGTAGGTGTGTGTGTGTGTGTTTTTTCTTACTTATGATTATTACTCAACGGGAATTAAAGCCACACTCATTAGCTGCCATAGGTATGAATGCCTTGTTATTGCCTTTGATCTAATTTTTTTTTTTTCTTATGATTTTTTTGCTTAGTTCATTGAGTGGTTAGTGTAATTTCCTCGTGTCCACTGTAGATTATACGTCAATTATATATATATATATATATATATATATATATATATATATATATATATATATATATATATATATTTATATATATATTTTTTTTTCTTATTATTATTATTATTATTATTATTTCTTCTTCTTCTTCTTCTTCTTCTTCTTCTTCTTTTTCTTCTTTTTTACCAAATTTTAGTGATTTCATTCTAAAGGAAATTTTTCTGCTTGAATTAGAATTTATACATTTATATTTCATATCTAATATGCTGGGACAAGCTTTATAACAAGAAAACAATTATTTCGAGCATTATTGCAGCATTTACTTACAGTGCAGATCATATGAATAAATAAATAAAACGAAATAGTTATCATACGAAGCAGAAGCTCTCTTAATGTCGAGTTGCAAGATATTTTAGGAAAAGATACTTAAATCTTCCAATTCCCTGAGATTTTGAATTTATTTGATAGCAACAATGGCAAAATGCGAGTAAAATATTCTATTTACTGCATGTTTTATAAAGTTACAGCCGAAAACTATCTTTGAAAAGACAGTGTTTAGCATATCTGACTGCTGCTGATCAAACATAGCAAATCGTAGCATAAACATGGTCTGAAAGCTACTGGTTATTGAAAAAAAATGCATTTCCCAAAAAGCAGTGGATGGGTGGATGGGTGGGTGGATGAACAGATGGATGGATGGATGAATGGATGGATGAGTGAATGAATGGGTGGATGGATGAATGAATGAGTGGATGGATGAATGAATGAATGAATGGATGGATGGATGAATGAATGGGTGGATGGATGAATGAATGAATGAGTGGATGAATGGATGGATGAGTGAATGAATGGATGAATGAATGGATGGATGGACGAATGAATGAGTGGATGGATGAATGAATGAGTGGATGGATGAGTGAATGAATGGATGGATGCATGAATGAATGGGTGGATAGATCGATGAGTGAATGAATGGATGGATGGATGAGTGAATGAATGGATACATTGATGGATGGCTAGATAGATGGGTGGTTGGATAAACAGATGAATGAATGGATGAATGGATAACTAGATGAATATATAGTTGGATGAATAGATGGGTTAGTGCCTGGATTGATGGGTAGAGGGATTAGATGGATGTATGGTGTATATGTATGCGTGTTTTATTTCATAACTGTGATCACTTCACACGTTTGTGCATGCATGGGTGTATCTGGGCTGGTACATGTATAGATGCTATTATATGAGGATTAATAAATAAATGAAACTGCCCCCTTCCTCTCTGGCCATTATTTGTGTTCATGTACTCTCACTCCTACTCCCACTATAAGATGCCCCTAAACGAACACTCCATATTCTAACCAATCGCTTTGCCTTCATCGTAGTAGGGCGGAGTGGGAAGAGGTGGAGAATAGGCGAGGAGGGGGAGATGGAATGGGGAGGGAGAGGAGGAGTTGAGAAGGAAGAAGAGAGATAGAGGGTGAAGGGGAGGTTGGAAAGAGGGGAGCCTGGGACACACGGAACGCAAGGAAGGAGTTAGAGAGAAGGAGGATAGAAGATAAGGAGGGGGGAGGGAGGGTAGGGGGAAACACTGAATGAAGAAGGGAATTAGAAGATGTGAGGAGAAGAATGGAAAAGGAAGGGAGAGGAAAAGGATAGGATGGGATGAGGAAATGAATAGAAAGATGGGGGAATGAAAGAATGAGTAGGGGGTGGAACAGGGAGGGAAAAGAGGGGATAGAAAGAAGGGGAAATATTGTGTTAAGATGGATTAGAAAGAGTGGGGATAACAGCTGAGAAGGGGGACAGGACGGGGAGAAAGAGGAGTACAAATATTTGGAGGCGGGAGTATACGGTGAGGAGAAAGGCAAA